AGTAGTGGTAGTAGTAGTTGCTGTTGCTCTTGTTGTGATAGTGGTAGTATGGGTAGTACGTCGTCGTTGCCGTCGTAGTCGTAGTCGTGCTCGCAATCGCAGTCGCAGCCGACGTCCTAGTGGTAGTAGCAGTAGCAGTAGCAGCAGCAGCCGCAGTAGAAGCAGTGGCAGGAGATCATCTCCCTGAACTTGAAAACTCGAAAGAGTTCAATGCCGCCAGCACAAACTTTCGAGCCGGGAAGCTGCTTAGACAGCGCGAAACAGGTGTCGAACATCGTGGCTTTGATCGGGGTCGGAGTTCGCACTGCCTGCACTTCCATGTGCTGAGGCACCGGACAAGATCGAACAAGTAGACAGGGTGGATTTAGGCGCCGGACTTTCCACCCTCGTCTCTGTTGCTCAGAACTCTGGACCTTGCCATCACACTCATTTTACCCGAAGAAGGCCGTGCATCTGGATCAGCGCCACTCGCTGATCGGCTTTGACCGAAGATCTGGCTGTGTTACTAAGGCGAGCTGTACAGCGTCATGCTCTTTATTCGTCATATCGCGTCAAGAACGGCCACCCACGCAGCTCTACAGTGACGAGCCTACCCAGCGAACCTGAAGCTAAAGAAACTGTTTATGTATGCATGGACTGAATGCACTGACGTGTGGAACTGCGTGGCGGCTTGACGGATGGGATGCAACAGAAACTCCTCGCTTCCATTGATCAGGAAGACATGGGAAAACTGCAGGAGATGAGAGAAGGTAGCGCAAAGCCTATAAACCCCAAGTAGGCCTTGCTTGGAGTTCTGTAAGCCGTTGGAAGGCCTACAACACGACTCGTGCTGACAACTAGAGATGCCTCCGCTGCAGAGCTCACGGGCTTACCTTCTCTCACACCGACACGAAATTGCAAGAGGCCGCGGAGCATACAGAGCTCCACATAAAGACCAGATTAATGCCACGGCAGCTCAGAGCTTGGCTGCGGGCTCCAGGCCCTGGTAGGTGCGCTGGACAAGGAAGTCGGTGGGGAGCGGCACGATGTGGTCGGCAAGATTAGTGATGATCACGTGCTTCTCGGTAATGCTTGGGATGTTGGGTGTGCCGGAGAGGCGCATCACCATCTGGAGCTCATCCTGCAGCATGTGCACCATGCGAACGATGCCGTTCATACCGTAGGAAGCCAGGGAGTAGAGGACCGGGCGGCCCACACCCACTGCCTGTGCCCCCAATGCCACGGCCTTGAAGATGTCGCCGCCGCGGCGGACGCCACCGTCGATGAAGACGGCGAAGTTCTCCTTGGTAGCACCCGCCTCTCTGAGGCCCTCCATGACCTCGGGGAGCACCTCGATGCCGGGGCGGCATGTGTCCAGCTGCCTACCACCATGGTTCGAGAGAACGCAACCAGCCAGGCCGGCTTTGTAAGCAGACACGGCATCTTCGGCACACTGCACGCCCTTCAACAGCACCTTCATCTTTGTGATGCTCTTGAGCCAGGGCACGTCCTCCCAGTTGAGGCCGGGGTCGATGTAGCTGCTGATGGCGCGGGTGGCACCCTGGGAGCGGTCCACAGCACCATCCTCTTCATCGTCGCCCTGGACATCCGAGCCCTGCTGGGTGAACTTGTTCCTCATGTCCTTCTCACGGCGGCCCAGCTGGGGGGCGTCCACAGTCACGAAGAGAGCCTTCACCCCCGCGTCCTCCAGCTTCTTCACGTACTCCTCGGACCTGGAGCGCTCCGGGTTCACGTAGAGCTGAGAGAAGACCTGCTGGTCTGGGGACCTGGCCTCCAGCATCTCGTCCAGGGTGTAGGAGGAAAGTGTGGGGAGCATGTAGGGAACTCCGGCCTTCTTGGCAGCTTTCACGATCGCCACCTCCCCGTCCGCGTGAGCCAACTTGGCGAGGGCCGTGGCCGTGAAGTACAAGGGCACGGAAGCCGGCACTCCCAGAATCTGCGTCGTCATGTCGATCTCCCGCACGTTCACCAGGATCCTTGGGCGCATGGTAATGCGCTGGAAGGCTAGGTGGTTGTCCCGCAGTGTGATCTCGTCATCACCACCCGAGGAGTAGTATCCCCAGGCTTGTGGCTCCATGACCTCACGGGCCACACTCTCGAAATCGAAGCTGTTCAACATAGCATTCAAGGGTGGCTTCTTGAATTCGACCTCCTCTTCCACCTCAGCCGATGCGGCCTTCTTCTTCTTGGGTGCTGGCTTATGAGGCTCCGGCGCCTTCGCCACATGCTCTGGCTTGATCGTCGCCGCATCAACGACACCCATGGTCAGCGAGGGCTTCAGGAGCTTGTCCATGATGTCCTTGGGGTGGATTGGGTCGAAGAGGGCAGTGGCATCCATGCCCGCTGCGTCCGTGATGAGCTTGGCCCCACCGGGATGGACCTTCGCAAACTTCGTCAGGTCGTAAGCCTTGCCGTAGAGAACGACCCAGCAATCTTCCTTGGTGTTGTGCTTGGCAACATCCTCCATGCTTAGGACTTTGTCCGACATGGTGACGGAAGCTGCAGTCGGAGAGCTCTAGGGCAGTGGGGGCTGGCAAAGCTTTGCTTCACAAGAAGCAGACCTGCGCCAAAACGGCTGCGGATTGACGTGTATTTGCAGAAGGCCGCTCTGGGGTTTACAGCTGCAAGCTCGTGAACCCGAGCACCAACTACAAGGATGAAGCTCAGCTGTCAGCTGCGCCAGGCACCCTTCCCCCCTGCCTCAGATGCTTCCTCCGCCTTACCCTCCTCCTGCTCATCTTCGTGCTTGCTGCCATCCTGCGGGGCTCGGAGGTTCGAAAGGCCTATCTTCGGTGCAGGCCGTTCTGCATTCTAGTCCTGCCGTATGACTAGGTATGACCACGGGAACTGACATACGAGGGCGGGGGGCTCTGAACCCTCGACACTCCCAACTATGTGTGTTTCAGAAGTCGCCGCGGAGGCAGATGGCAGAGCCTTATTATATTATGTATGTATGTGTGTGTATATATATATGTGTGTGTGTGTATGTATATATACTATACTATACTAGCTCCCCGTCTGCTCTTGCGAGGCGTCGTGTTCGGCGTCTGTAGCAATGCGTGCACCAACGGAACATCCTGTCGAAGGCTTGCCGGGAACCTTCGTCCGCATCCTTTCCAAAGCTCGCCAAAGACGAAGCCGTTAGGCTCCCTGAACCCTAAACCCTAAACCCTAAACCCTAAACCCTAAACCCTAAACCCTAAACCCTAAACCCTAAAACCCTAAACCCGAAGTCGTTAAAGGAACCCCAAGCCCGCCTGGAACCCTTACAGGTTTCCGACTTCGGGCCGAAAACCTTCCAGTCAAAGGCACTCACCTTCTAACGCGGTGGGCCTGAACAACAGGCATAGGATTTTTGGGGTATAGTCTGCCATAACTTTGATAAGGAGCCGCCAAATCGCATTGTGTTGTTAAAACCCAGGCACCCAATATATTAAACAACCCCTGACCTTTTCAAAACCGCAGCAGGAGCCGGCTGTCCTCATCCTGATGGTCGTCCTTGTCTTTTCCCGAGACCTTCCTGGGCGTTTTTGTTCGCCGTTTGGGGCGTCGGGGTTTCAGGCCGCAAGATCGGGGCCTGCATGGGAAAAAGAGGGTTTTCGGAAATGCACACCATATGGGAGTTTCCGAAAATAGGGGACCCTAATATAGTACCCTAAATAGTAGGATCCTTATTAAAGGACCCCCAAAGAAGGTACCCCTTATTTTTGGAAACTCTCATATAGTTATGATAAGGAGCCCTCTGGAATCCTATCACTCATATCTTCAGGCCCCTATATTCGGGGACTCGGGTTCGGAAGTTTGGGCCTTAGGCTTCCGGGATAAGCAGTCGAAGCATCTCCGGCATCAGCCACTTAGCGCTTGCATGTCGATCTCAACGCGGGGCTTCGGGCTTTTGGAGTTTAGGCATGAGGTCCAGCTCCTTCCAACTGAAAGGAAGTGATGCAGACAACCATGGCTCAGCACGTGAAGCCAATTTATTCATCTAATGTAGGGGTCTTAATAATTAGAATAGGGTTTGGGGTTCCTTATTATAATTATAGAATAATAATCCCCAAACCCTATTCTAATGATTAAGGCCCCTTTTGTATGGCCCGATTTGGAGAGGCCCCTTCCTTGCACAGGAAGTCCAGACATGGCGCGCCATTTCTCTCTGTTGCCAGGCATGACCCAAATTCAAACCCTGAAAGTTCTGAATGGGACGCCCGGGGATAGCCCAGGTTTTGAGGAGCTGGTGGCTGCTGATCTCTGACCATGGAAAACAACAAAGATCTCAAAATGCGCCGAAGGAAGTGCACTGTCAGCCAGTTGCTCACGCATTTCAACGTGCAGCTCCTAAGCCGTACCCCCAGACCACCTCGGATTTCATGTGCCGATCGGGCACTGAAGATCCAGAAGTCCTCCCTCAACAGTTCTGGACAAGTTGCTTCAAAGCCCCACCCAGACCTCCGACACAGGTTTGACGGCAGGTGGCGTCCGATCCGGGGTTGATTTCAGGCATGGGTTGTGGGACGTGGAGTTCCATCGTTCCCCTAAACACAAAGCAACGACCAGTTGACTGTTTTGCTGGAGCTTGGGGCGAAAGGGAACCCTAAACCCTAAACCTAACTGTGGCTGTAGCTATAGTCTCCATTGTAGTTCCTTTCGGGGGATACCTTATAGAATCCTGAATGTAGAATTGGAAACCAAAAACCGGAACTACAATGGAGACTATAGGTATGCTATGGAGCTCAGGCAGCTAAGGGCATAGCCAGAACAACCCGGAAGCGTGCGTGCCACTCGAAACGCTTACCTGGTGATACGTCTCTTAAGGACATGCCCTGCCGTTGTAGTTGTCACAAGTGCGACAAAAAGGAAACGTGGCCTGGTCTGCGAAGCCAAACCCGACAAAAACCAAAGCCGCCACAAACAAAAACAAAAAAACATGTAACATGTAGCTACGATGTAGGCAGTGAGTAGACCTGTCATACAAGACATTGCAGGCCCAAGAATCACAAGAGGCGCAGCACCACATCGGTCATAACAATGCTCTCGTGATTAAGACAATAGCTGTTGGGACGACAACAGCGACGGCAAGCAAAAACAGCTGACGAATAAAACGGACCATGACAGTATGTACAGCTCGGTCCGCACACAAAGCAAGTTACACATGACTCTCGTCGCGGTAGCTGCATGCAGACCTTGTCACCGCAAGATTCCCTCACTCTTACCACCATCATTGCAACTCCAATGTGGGGGTTTCCGAAAATAGGGGACCCTAATATAGCACTTTAAATAGTAGGATCCTTATTATAAGGACCCCAAAATAAGCTACCCCTAATTTTCGTAGCTGAGGGGCATATTATGCATGCAGGTGTACAAGCTTCATGCCCTCATATTGTGGTTGAAAAGGCGGATTGTTACTGCAATTGCCACTCTAGTTTTTGGGTGCTTATCTGAAACAGCCCACAGCTCCATAAAGACAAGAAGATCCTGCCTCCGAACGGCTGCAATGCTGTAGCTGCCAGGCGAAGGTGTGACCAGCCAGTGAAGGGCTTTTTCTTCGATGGGGCCCTGAAGTGGCTTGAGTTTAGGCGGTCTAGGGCGTGTAGTAGTGGCCGAGGTTCTGAAACCAAGGACAGCCTGCAAGCACTCTTGCTACACCCGGCGTGTCAATGCGGGTAGTTCTCCGCATTAGGGTCCCTTTTAGGGTCCTATTATAAGGATGCCGTACTGTTTTGGGCACCTTCAAAGGGACCCTAATTTGGAGAACTACAGATGTAAAGACCGTATTGTCTTAATGATTAGATTAGGTTTATGGTGCCCATTATGCTATAATTGTACTAAGGAGCCCTCAAATAGTATTGTTAATTATCTAGACACCGACATTAGAGGTTGAGGGCCGAAGCCTCGGCTGTTGGACCTTAGGACCCAGAGAACCCAATACGCCTCAATTAAGGAATATGCCTTAAATTATATTATTCAGGCCCCTATAATTTTTGGTATAATCCTGAATGAAGGTGTAGTGGGTTCTTTGGGCAACGCCCTGAGAAGACCGGAGCGGATCCTCGGCACACCAGGCTTCTTCGAAGGTACCTCAGCCATTGGGTTTAGGGCTTATAGGGTGTAGGGTTCAGGGTTTAGGGGTTTAGGGGGTTTGGGGTACCTCAACCAGTGGGATTAGGGCTTATAGGGTTTAGGGTTCAGGGTTTTAGGGTTTAGGGGTTTGGGGTTTGGGGTTTAGGGTTCAGGGTCCGGAGGAATATCATGTCAGGGTCTACTGCGGCTTCAAGGGGGGATTTATGATTAGGATGTGAAGGATCACTGACCACTTGTCACCCAGTAGGGTTGCCGTAAGGGCTGGACAGTGGAATAGGTCGGGTCGTTGTTGGTATGCTCAGGGCTGCAGCAGGTCCATAGTACCACGAAACCGGGTGGCTTGTCAGAGAGGCACTCAGACTGCTACAGGGCCCTTGCACATCTCTTGTTAAATACAAAAGGCTGGACCCAAACTCACGAAAACTGAAGATAATGAAACTTGAAACTCGACCATAAGCTTCCTTGCCGACGCCTTGAATCCCGAACTTTGCAAACAAGCGGCTCGCTTGGACGTGGACCTCCCAGGAAGCTAGGCATACCATCGTAAAAGTTTTGATTTAAGAGCTGAGAGCCCAGGGTGTCGAAACAGCTTTGGGCTTCAGGTTTAAAGCTTACAGTAGCAGTTGGAGGAATGAAGGTCTACCGGATCCCAGTTATCAGGATTCAGGGTGTGAACAAGGCCGTCCGGGCTGTACGAAAGTTTGGGATCGCATGAATCGCATGTACTTGATCTCTCGCATGCATCCGCAAAGGACATTCCCTTTCCATAAACTCCTCGTGGGATGAAGGGGCTTTGGCTGGGATACCACTACCCGTAGTTGGGCTGTGGATGTTCTGGATTCCAAAACCTTTGACCCCAACCAGCCTCTCATAGCTACGAGCATCGTCAAGCTCTCAACCCGACGTGCCCGGGAACCACGCAGCTAGCACCGGCAGGCCTGCTGGGCGAGCGGCTGGCTTCCTCTCTCTCCAGCAGGAGCCTCGTTGACATCGGTGTTCAGGGTGCGGAGCTTCTGGCTCTCAGAACTTTCGGTTTGAGAATTTCGGGGCGTAGGCTCAGGTACTCCATTTAAGGAATGAATTGCGGGTTACCGGCTTAGGATTTCAGAGTTTAGGGTTTAGGGTCTGGTGTGGGCTAAGGCTTGCCTGCTCAAGAAGCTCTGTAATCGACTGAGAAATCTGAACTTCAACTGTTTTGGGCTGATGTCTCTTGGCATCGACCTCCGTCCTAGGATTCTTGCAGGTGCATGCGATGATAACACACAGAGCCAGAGGCAAAGGTTGCAGCATGGCAGATTGTGTTGTTGCTTGGCAGCCCTCTTTTAGAAATTACAAGAGCATAGGATCGCCCTCCATTGAATGGAACCCTACCGAATGTCCAGTCGCAAGAATCCCTGTTAGTGAACAAACGGGGCGGACCAATACGATTCAATGCGACTCTCCCTCTTTCTCTCCTGTGCCGTTACGACACGCAATCGCTGAAGTAGGACTGCTGCTGCTACTGCTACTGCTA